TTCCACTGCAGAGGGTGTGGGTTCAATCCCTGGTCAGGGAGCTGGGATCCGACGTGCCTCATGGCCTAGGGGCCAGGGCATGGAGCAGAGGTGATATTGTGGTGAATTCAGTGGAGACTTTGAAGAGGTGGTCCACATCAAAGAAAAAAAAAAAAGGATTGTTTCATCTGGTTTTGAACTCAACAGTCGATTATTTGAGCTTTTGTCTGAAAAGTAAACCAAACATATAAAGATTATTTTTTTCAAATGTACATTAAATTTCTTAACAACTCTGTGAAGGAGCTATAATTATTGGCATCATTTTACATGTGATAAAATTGATTAACCTGGGTCCCCTGCATTGGGAGCACAGTCTAAGCTACTGGGCCACCAGGGAATTAATAAATGATAGGTGTTACTATAATTACTGTAATAAGTACAGTCTCTATCATTTTATTTATTTATTTTAAATTGAAGTATAGTTGATTTACAGTGTTTTGGGATAAACAGCAAAGTGATTCAGTTATATGCATTTTCTTTGTCAGATTCTTTCCCATTACAAATTGTTATAAGATATTGAATATAGTTCCCTGTGCTATACAGTAGGGTCTTTGCTGTTTATTTTGTATATAGTAGTGTATATATTTTAATCCCAAACTCCTAGTTTATTCCTCCCCCACTTCCCCTTAAGTCTGTGAGTCTATTTCTGTTTTGTAAATAAGTTAGTTTGTATCATTTTTTAGATTCCATATATAACTAGTATCATATGACATTTGTCTTTATCCAATCTCTATCATTTTATTTGAGCAATAGATAAATTTACCACTAATGCATATATATATATATAGGATTTACAAAGAAAATAACATAAAATAGAGATAACACATTAGCTGACTCATAGGGTGAGTATTAGAAATTGATAAGGTGATATTTATGAGAGTGATTTTTAAGCTCTAAAAAATATAGAAATTTAATGAATTATTACTATGAAAATATATTCAATGTTTGCAAAAATGGGCTTTCCAGCTTTTAAATATCAATGTAATAATATAACCAGTGCTCAGAGATAAACAATTTAAGATCCACGTTTAGAATTCTTTCATTGTTTGTTTTTTTGGCCATGCCATGCAGCTTGAGGGGCCTTAGCTCCCCAGCCAGGGTTAAACCAGGCTCCCACAGTGAAAGTGCCAAGACCTCAGCACTGGACCACCAGGGAATTCCCCACATCTAGAATTCTTTTCCACATCAAATATCTTTGATCTTGAAACAATGTTCCCTTTTATTTCATGTTAAACACTTAGCTAGAAAACCTATGTCATTTTTTTTAAAACTATGCTAATGGAACCATGATTTAGAAGAAAAATGCAAGTGGCTCCTTTGTGCTGTGGACCATTTTATAAAGACAGTATTCAAGTGAAACTCCATCAGGTGTCCCAAACTGCATGGTTCCAAACCACGGTAATAAAGCAAATATCACAATGAAATGAGTCACACACATTTTTTGGTTTCTCGGAACATATAAAAGTTGTATCAAACTAAATTGTAGTCTATTAAGTGTACAATAGCATCGTGTCTAAAAACCAATGTGATTATCACACTTTAATTAAAAAATACTTTATTGCTGAAAAATGTTAACCATCATTTGAGCCTTCAGCAAGTTTTAATCTTTTTGCAATAGTAACATTAAAGATCATAGATCACTATAACAAACATAATAATAATGAAAAAGTTTTAAATATTGCAAGAGTCACCAAAATATCACACTACTGTATTTGAAATGAAAACCAACAAGGACCTACCATATAGCACATGGAACTTTGCTCAATGTCATGTGGCAGCCTGGATGAGAAGGGAGTTTGGGAAAGAATAGATACATGTATGTGTATGACTGAGTCCCTTTGCTGTTCACCTGAAACTATCACAACATAGTTAGTTGCTTATACCCCATTACAAAATAAAAAGGGTTTTAAATAAATAAATACCTCAGCTCTCTTTTTAAAAAAAATAAAAATTGTTTTTAAAAATAATTTGAGGGCTAAGATGAAGTTATCTTGTTCTGAAGGAGATTTACATTTGCTTGTGTCAGAGGCTTGAGGAAACAGCCAGGGGTCACCTTAATTCAGTTTCAGAGAATGCAGCCATTTGAAGCTGTCTTTGAATGTGCTGGTCTAGGTCTACTTTTAGGACAACTCTTACTCCTAGGATGCAGCCTCCCATTGGAAAGCCTGGACTCCAAAATCCTTCAGTTCAGTTCGGTAGCTCAGTCGTGTCTGACTCTTTGCGACCCCATGAATCGCAGCACGCCAGGCCTCCCTGTCCATCACCAACTCCCGGAATTTACTCAAACTTATGCCCATCGAGTCGGTGATGCCATCCAGCCATCTCATCCTCTGTCGTCCCTTTCTCCTCCTGCCCCCAATCCCTCCCAGCATCAGGGACTTTTCCAACGAGTCAACTCTTTGCATGAGGTGGCCAAAGTATTGGAGTTTCAGCTTCAGTGTCAGTCCTTCCAATGAACACCCAGGACTGATCTCCTTTAGGATAGACTGGTTGGATCTCCTTGCAGTCCAAGGGATTCTCAAAACTCTTCTCCAACACCATAGTTCAAAAGCATCAATTTTGCGGTGCTCAGCTTTCTTCACCATCCAACTCTCACATCCATACATGACCACTGGAAAAACCATAGCCTTGACCAGACGGACCTTTGTTGGCAAAGTAATGTCTCTGCTTTTTAACATGCTATCTAGGTTGGTCATAACTTTCCTTCCAAGGAGTAAGCGTCTTTTAATTTCACGGCTGCAATCACCATCTGCAGTGATTTTGGAACCAAAAAAAATAAAGTCTGACACTGTTTCCACTGTCTCCCCATTTATTTCCCATGAGGTGATGGGACCAGATGCCATGATCTTAGTTTTCTGAATGATAAGCTTTAAGCCAACTTTTTCACTCTCCTCTTTCACTTTCATCAAGAGGCTTTTTAGTTCCTCCTCACTTTCTGCCCTAAGGGTGGTGTCATCTGCATATCTGAGGTTATTGATATTTCTCCTGGCAATCTTGATTCCAGCTTGTGCTTCTTCCAGCCCAGTGTACTGGAAGAACACCAGTACATCTCATGATGTACTCTGCATATAAGTTAAATAAGCAGGGTGACAATATACAGCCTTGACGTACTCCTTTTCCTATTTGGAACCAGTCTGTTGTTCCATGTCCAGTTCTAACTGTTGCTACCTGATCTGAATACAGGTTTCTCAAGAGGCAGGTCAGGTGGTCTGGTATTCTCATCTCTTTCAGAATTTTCCACAGTTCATTGTGATCCACACAGTGGAAGGCTTTGGCGTAGTCAATAAAGCAGAAATAGATGTTTTTCTGGAACTCTCTTGCTTTTTTGATGATCCAGCAGATGTTGGCAATTTGATCTCTGGTTCCTCTGCCTTTTCTAAAACCAGCTTGAACATCTGGAAGTTCTCAGTTCACATATTGCTAAAGCCTGGCTTGGAGAATTTTGAGCATTACTTTACTAGTGTGTGAGATGAGTGCAATTGTGCGGTAGTTTGAGCATTCTTTCGGATTGCCCTTCTTAGGGATTTGAATGAAAACTGACCTTTTTCAGTCCTGTGGCCACTGCTGAGTTTTCCAAAACCCTTAGCTTCCACAAAACTATAAAAAGCCCTGATCAGTCTCTAAGCCTCTCAAATTCCTCTTTTGATTTCCAAATCTCTAGCGTATTGATAGTAGCCCTTTACTATCTTGTTATTTCTCTATTGCCTTTAACGAGAAATTTTTTTTATATTCTGTTCAGCTTCTCTAGTTGTCTTCCAAAGTCAGGGTGGGGTACTTTGGATTACCCAGATGCTATTACCAAAAGGGGGAGACCACTGGAAGTTTTAAACATGTATGCCTAGTTGTTTTATAAACTGTGGCTTACAAAATTCCAATTATAAAATTCCAATATCTGAAATGCCTAGTCTTCTGTGAGTCCATCTTTGTTGTCTGTTTTAGAATTTTAATGTACTATAGTAACATCTAATAGGAGTGTGTAGAGTGGGCTACAGGAACACAAAAAATGTAGACTAAGAAATTCAGGGAAGGGTTTCTGGAAGAAGTGATCTTTGTCTTATCTTATAATTAAACAACTGAATAAACACATATTGAAAAACACATAATGGTTTTTATCTTCTGTGTATAAACATAATAAATGTTCGTGTAGAAAAGTTAGAAAAGTATAAAAAGAGAAAATAAAAGTTGACTTCTATAATCTCACAATGTTTGCTTTTGGGTGGGCATTTGCTTGTCCTTTTAATGCCAGATATATTTTATATATATATTTTATATATATATTTTATATATATATATATAAAATACATTTGAGATCTTTCCACACATGCAATTATGTATTATACTTTTATATAATATTATAACATAAACATTTCCCCAAGTTATTAAGAGCAATTTTCCAAACAATTTTTATGGCTACCTACTGTATGGGTATGGCATTATTTACTTAACTATATCTCTATAAGGCCTTTGATTCTTTTCCATTTTTTCCCATATCAAAAATCATGCTGTAGTTAGCAATTTTATGCATAGATGTTATAGTTTTTTATTATACCTTAAGATGGGTTTCTAGAAGTCAAATTACTAGGTTAAAGAGTATAGAATATCTTTAAAGTTCATATGTGTTTTTTACAGTCCTACAAGGAGTATATTTAAAGAACTAGAGAAAGCAAGACTTTCTACAGTAGCTGAATCCAGGGAGAAAGATGAGTTCATCTCACTTTGTGTCTCACAAACTTCTAGTGTTTCTGTGTTATCTACTAATTTTAAATTTTCCAAACTACAACTGCAGAAGTCTCTATTTGAAGAATACAAAGTCACTGCTGCTGAAATACTGTTCGAACTTGAGGAGATATTAGAGAAATATGCTGTGTATAACATTACTTTCCTGTGGGAATTGTAAATCTTGTAGATTACAGTTGGCACATCTTATTGCAGATGCTTATAAGTATGCAACCAAAAATCCTATGTTGAAGAAATGTAGTGCCTTACAAGATGATACTAGGATCATGACTATGATCGACTTAAAGGAATACAAAATCAACAGCTGTTCAAGAGAAGACTATCATAAGAAGAACTGCCTGGTTAAAGCAAAAGAAGACCATCGTGTTGCAGCAAGTAAACCTATGGAAAAAACATGTAAGTAGAAGTTACTAGTTAGATTTATAAATAATCCTCCAGTTTTAAAAATAAAAATGAAAATGGCAAGTAAGATATTGAAAACACATTATATTAATGATATTTGGTTTGCATTAATCATTTTAATACATTATTAGTGAAGATCAGGAATAAGATACAAAAATTTAAATTGCTTTCAGTTAAATAAAGCATCTATTATGCTTCATATTCATGTGATATGAAGTCTCCACCTCAGGGGATCTTACAGATTCTCGTACAGCAGCATGGTCCAGCACAAATAGGATGCTAGCCACATATGTAATCTTTAAAATTATACTTTTTGTTTTGTGAAAATTATAGACCCACATGTGTAAGAGTTAATACAAAGGGATCCCATATACTGTTTACTCATTTTCTCCATATGACAACATCTTGGAAAACATCACAACCAGAATATGGACATTAACACAGTCAAGCTTCAAAACGTTCCACCACAGCAAGGATCACTTATGTTGTCTTTCTATAATCCGACCCACATCCCTCCTGTCCCCACACCCTCTTTAACCCAGGCAACCACCAATGTGTTCTACATTTCTGTATTTTGGTTTATTTTTTTATTTGTTGCACCGGGTCTTCATCGCTGTGTGGGGGCTTTCTCTGGTTGTGGCGAGTGGGGACTGCTCTTTGGTTAGGTAGGCGGGCTTCTCATTGCAGTGGATTCTCTCATTGCCGAACATTGGCTCTAGGCACGTGGGCTTCAGCAGTTGTGGTGCATGGGCTTAGTTGCTCCATGGCATATGGAATCTCCCAGATCCATGGATCAAACCCGCGTCCTCTGCACTGGCAGACGAATTCTTTTCCACTGTAGCCCCAGGGAAGTCCCATGTATTTTTGTTATCTTAAGAATGTTGTAAAATGAAATCCTACAATGTTTAATTTTTGGTGATTGTCTTTCTTCAGTCAACTTAATTCTCTAGAGATTCATCTAGGTTATATATATCAGTAGTTTGTCCCTTTTTATTGCTCGGTAGTGTGCATTCCATTGTATGGATGGCCCGAAGTTTAACCATTCACTCCTTCAGTGGGTGGGGGTTTTTTCCCCCCTGATTTTTGAATATTATGAAAGCTGCTCAAACATTTATGTACAGATTTTTGTGTAAATATAAGTTTTTATTTCTCTTTGATAAGTGCCAGAAGTACAATTGCTGGACTATGAGGTATTTGCATGTTTCCTTTTATATGGAACTGCCAAATTGTTTTCTAGAATGATTGTGCCATTTTATAATACATTGCTACCAGCAATGTTGAGTTATCTCCTTCCTCCACATTCTCACTAGTATTTGGATATTATAACTGTGTTTTATTTTAGCCGTTCTTGGAGATGTGCAGTGTTATCTCATTGTGGTTTTAATTTGCATTTCTTTCATGGCTAATGATGCTGAATGTTTGCCATCTGTATGTCCTCTTCAGTGAAATGTCTTTCATGTCTTTACTCATTTTCTAATTGGATAATATATTTTTTTACTGTTGAGTTTTGCAAATTCTTTATATATTCTAGATATTGGTCCTTTGTTATATATGTGCTTTACAAATATTTTTCCCAGTGTCTCCTCATTCTTTTACTTGGGTCTTTTGCAGAGAAAAAGTTTTAAATGTTGAAGAAATAAAATTTATCAGTTTTTTAATAAATAGTGCCATTGGTATCAAGACTGTGAACTCTTTGCCTTGCCCTAGATCCTGAAGTTTTTCTCTTTTTTTCCCTAAAAGTTTTATAACTTTACGTTTTATATTTAAACCCATTACCCATTCTAGGTTAACTTTTGTATACATCTGAGACCAACTTGAGGTTCATCTTTTGGGTTATGGATCTCAAGTTGCTTCAGCTTATTTGTTGAAAATACTGTCTTTCCTCCTTTGAGTTGCTTTTACATCTTAATCAAAAGTCAGATGGGCATAGGTATTTAAATCTATTTCTGGGTTCTGCTTTTGTTTCTGCTGGTTCTCACTCATGTTCTCTTGACTCCCTGTGAATATGATTATTTTTTATTTTGTGCCAGACATTGTATTTGAAAAATTGTTTTTAAAAATATTTGAGGCTTAGGATAAGGTTATCTTCAACTGGAGGTGATCATAAATGGGAAATCAAACAGATTTTTGTACAACCAGTGCTCAAGCAGTACTATTCATAGTAACCAAAATGTGGAAATAGCCCAAATGTCCATCAACAGATGAAGAGATAAACAAAATGTGGTATATATATATATATATATATATATATAGAAGGATATCATTTAACCTTGAAAAGGGGTGAAATTCTGATACATGGTACAGCATGGATGAACCTTGAAGGCATTTTAATCTAGAAACAAAACAACAAATATAGTATACTCTATAAAAAACAAACATAGTATGAGGTACCTAGAGTAGTCAGATACATAGAGATAGAATGTAGGATGGTGGTTGCCAGGGACTGGGAATTGGGGGGAGGGGGCAGTAATTAGGGAGTTTAAGTTTAATGGGTACAGAGTTTAGTTAAAGATGATGAAAAATTTCTGAAGCTCGATGGTGATGATGGTTGTACAGTAATGTGAATGAACTTAATGCTACAGAACTGTACACTTAAAAACTGGTAAAGTGATAAATGTTAAATTATGCATATTCAACCAAATAAAATATTTTACTGGTTAAAAATGGTACTTTTGTTATGTATATTTTATCACAATGGAGAAAAGGGATAACCAAGTCAATGTGAAAAATTAAGCTTTACTTTGTATAAGGGGATAAATAAAAGGAATTGAGTGGAAGGACAGGTGTATCCAAGGTCATAAAGAGCAGTTAATTAATTTCAGAGAGGGGAGTAAACACTTGAGTCTGTAAGCCTAGAATTAGGAACCTGTGATAATGTTATATGTATGTGAAATAGTAGAAACTGGCCCATTTTAAAGGCACTTGGGTCAATGCTGCTTCCACAGCCCATTTCTTCCCACCACTGAAGAAGAACTGCTTGTGTTCCCTCACTCCCTGGACTATATTATGACTTTTGTGGGTTCTGGGCACTTTTGCCTTCGTGAGTCCCTACCTCCATAAAGTTACTAAAAATAACTTCTTATGACTGTATTGTTATGAAGACAAATATAATTCAGTTAGACTTGTATATTCATTGTTGTCATATTCAGGTTTTTTCTGTTTGAGAAGAAATTAAAATTAACACATTGTCTAGGTTCGTGGAAGGGTTGTGTGCCTAACAGAGAGATCAGTCCTGCTGCCTTCTTCCTTCACTTCTGAGGTACCACTCACCTCTCTCAGAATGTTGCATCATCCCATCACTTACTCTTAGTCTCCATGGTTTTCACAGCTAAAATGAAGTTTACTATTTTATTTCCAAGAAATTGATGCTATTCTCAGATGCTGAAACATTTGCAAGCCTAGAAATGTTTTTTTTTTTAAAGAATCTTAGGGATCTGAAGTCATTGCTGATAATAATTTCAGAAAACTTGATAGGGAAATATGAATAACTAGCACAGTCATGCAATTCAAAAAGGATGAATGTCTTCATCAGAGATTAGCACTGCACAGTGAAGAGTATTGGTAGACCCTGTTCTGACTCCTACTAGAGTGAAACTTTATGTTCAGAACCTTAATATTTCCCATTTCACCTTCTATTGTGTTGAATATATATGAGTAGATTTACATGTAGCAAAAGAGCTATTTTTAAAAAAATAAAAATCATTTTAGTTTATAGTGTTTTACAGATCATAGAAATTGCCAACATCTGTTGGATCATAGAAAAAGCAAGGGAATTCCAGAAAAACATCTGCTTCATTGACTATGCTAAAGCCTTTGACCATGTGGATCACAACAAACTGTGGAAAATTCTTAAAGAGATAGGAATACCAGACCACCTTACCTGCCTCCTGAGAAACCTGTATGCAGGTCACGAAGCAACAGTTAGAACTGGACATGGAGTGCTCGCTTCGGCAGCACATATACTAAAATTGGAACGATACAGAGAAGATTAGCATGGCCCCTGCGCAAGGATGACACGCAAATTCGTGAAGCATTCCATATTTAAAAAAAAAAAAAAGAACTGGACATGGAGCAACGGACTCGTTCAAAATTGGGAAAGGAGTATGTCAAGGCTGTATAGTGTCACCCTACTTATTTAACTTCTGTGCAGACTACATCATGCGAAATGCCAGGCTAGATGAAGCTCAAGCTGGAATCAAAATTGCCAGAAAAAATATCAATAACCTCTGATACACAGATGACACCACCAGCAAAGAACTAAAGAACCTCTTGATGAAGGTGAAAGAGGAGTGAAAAACCTGGCTTAAAACTCAGCATTCAAAAAATGAAGATCATGGCATCCAGTCCCATCACTTCAGGGCAAATAGATGGGGGGAAAAAAGGAAACAGTGACAGACATTACTATTTTGGGCTCCAAAATCACAGTGGACGATGACTGCAGCCATGAAATTAAAAGATGCTAGCTCCTTGGAAGAAAAGCTATGACAAACCTAGACAGCGTATTAAAAAGCAGAGACATCACTTTGCTGACACAGGTCTATACAGTCAAAGCTATGGTTTTTCCAGTAGTCACACACAAATGTGAGAGTCAGACCGTAAAGAAGGCTGCGCGCCAAAGAATTGCTGCTTTCAAATTGCGGTGCTGGAGAAGACTCTTGAGTGTCCCTTGAACTGCAAGGAGATCCAACCAGCTAATCCTAAAGAAAATCAACTCTGAATATTCACTGGAGGGACTGATGCTGAAGCTCCAATACTTTAGCTCCCTGATGGGAATAGCTGATTCATTGGAAAAGACCCTGATGCTGGGAAAGATTGAGGGCAGAAGAAGGGGACTACAGAGGATAAGATGATTGGATGGCATCATCGACTCAATGGATATGAGTTTGAGCAAATTCCAGGAGATAGTGAAGTTTGGGGAAGCCTGGCATGCTGCAATCCATCAGGTGGCAAAGAGCCAGACATGACTTAGTGACTCAACAACAACAGATCATAGG